CCTTCACCACACAACACCGTATCTATGAAACAAAAAATACAAGATGCTATCTAAAACAAGCGTTCACCCACGCACAGAGACAGTCACAGATAGACGACCCAGTCTATTCCTATGTACAAACGCCCATTAAATTAAGCATAAATAAATATATACAAACATAAATAAAATAACCTTCCTCACACAGTTAACCAAATATTAACGTTGACAGACGGGCTATAATCCAGCTTGCGGAACTGAGAAAAGTGTGCACTCACGGGCGAGCAAAGGCTGCGCGAGGTCACCTCAGTTCTATGCAGCCTATAAGAAAGCGCACAAATCCGGGACATTTTTCAAGACCTTTTTATGTCTATTTTCAAAAGTCTTTTTTTTTTTTTTTTTTTTTCTTCGGTCAAAGCAAGCTTCCATTCAGCTGATGTAGGGTTGTAAAACAAATAAACAATATTTAGGCCATAAAATGTGTTTTCTTTGTTGATTTAGCTCTGTGTAAATGTTAGCATATATATATTAAAAAATACATAAACAACAGATGAATTATCAGTGAAATAGTTGATTCGGTTGGTCAGCTAAGGTGATTGCCATGTCAAAAGTACCTTAACTGAAAATGTCCTCACATTTTCACAACCAAATGGCCAAGACGGCACAAACAATAGCAGTTTCAAATACAAAGAAATACAACCAAAAATACAAAATCCCCCTGTTCATTTAGTAGACAAGCTCTTTTGAATATTGCCAAAGGTGTTTTAAAGAATATGTTAAATCTCAGTGTTTTAAATCTTGGCTTGTAATCTTTATATGAATAATCAGACTGAGAACTTAATTTCTAATGAATTGCTGTTTATGTAAAGTATATGTGTATTTTATGGGCTGTCAGATGGTGAATCTGAACATCTGTGATGGACTGTAATGTAAATAGCATGATGCTTGTTGCACATTTACAGCCTCTTTTTGGCAAACACTCAATTTCATTGTACCGCATGTATTACTAAATGCAATAAAATCTCATATTTGAATATTCTGTCTCTTTCAAATCTATGTGGAGCCAATTTTTTACTTGACAACCACTTTTATGGACAGAAGATGATTGTTTTACTGTAAGTGTAGTTTTGGTGAAAGTTGCGTGGAATGTACTTAACATTGCAGAACTGTGCACCTATATTTTAATAAGTATAATTAAATATAGTAGTTAAAAATGTCTCCACCAGTATCCCAAGCAAACCTGTCCTCCTGTGTGCTGGCCATTACACTGATTAACACTCAAATATTAGGTATTAGATTCATGAGCATGTGTGTAAAGGACAGCCTGCGTCTAACATCATGTAAAATGTCATACTTTGATACACAAAAACACACTCACAAACACTCCTCGAATATTTTCACACTCGCACACGAATGAGATGAAGATGGTGAACGTGTCACAGCAGACTCGTGTCCTCCAGTCTCTTTTATCGTATCGTTCCTTTCATCTTCCCGTGATCTGTTGTCCACTCGCCACCTTCAACCCAGAATGTAAAACGCAATGTCATAAAACTAGAGTTTATAGAATCTCTGAACATCTCCAATGACTCGACTTCCTTGATATCGTATTTCCACAGTTCATTTCCTGTGCTTTTCCTCTTTCTCTCCAGTTCCTTTGGAGCCGTCTGCAGGTGTGTGTCGGTTGGGGGTGGGGTTGTTCAGGAACATCTTGTCGAGGCCTTTAAGGGCTTCAGTCAGGTAATTCTGTAAAGTCGTGAGGGCGGCGCAGATGGCTGGAGAACCAAAACCGTGTGTGATGAAGCTAAAGTGTGACAGGCAGCTCTTCCAACTGAAACGGAATATTGAATAGAGGGCGGGGCTTTATTTTTGCGCTCCTCCTCTCATCTTTCACTCACAGAAATCTAACGATTGGAGGGGTGTGGTTAAGGATTTTCTGGCCAAGCCATGGCCCAAGCGGTCAAACTTACGTCATCAGAGAAGGAATGCAATTCCAGAGCGGAAGCAAATGATCAGATTTTGATTAAAGATTACCAAGACAAACATTTTTTTTCAGTGGATTAACTTGCACGGATTAATTGTTAACACTAAGACTAGCAATGTGCGGTAACAAAATAAATATTGTAAATTTTTATTTCATGCGGACTTTAAATGACGAATTAGAGGTTAACCAGCAGGCACAGGATGTCAATATAACGTCGGGTTGAGAATATAATTTCGGTTGAGAATGAAAATCAGGTTGACGTCAGTATTTGACCCGGTTGAGACTACACGATTTTAGCCCGATTTTGCCACGATTTGCTTGACGTAGGGTGTCGTGGGGATTCGTAAACGACAATGGGCGTCGGGACGCAAGCTTCCATCATTTCAGCACGTGTAGTGTGTCATAGTGGACGACAACCGATTCCGCGTCTGCGATGCTTCACGACATCACGACAGAAAGACTAGCATGTTTAATTTTTTTTCCCGTCGTCCACGACGAGTTCTGTCACATTGGTGACGTTGACCAATAGCAGCACAGAAGCTCTTTCATACACAGGTTTCAAACATGGCAAAACGAAAGAGAGATGATGGTGCTGCTAGATGGAATTATGAGATGGAGGAAAGGTTCGTGGAGATGTGGCAACAGTACTCCTGCCTGTATGATGTGTCATCGAGGGACTACCACGACAGAACAAAGAAAGAAAAATGCTGGCGAACTATAGCGGAAGCGCTTCAGCAATGTTTACACTCTTGTTTTTGGAAGTCAGTCGCTAGTTCCGCCTTCTTGACATCACGCGCGTAGTTAAAGACGGCACGCGATGAATGGTCGGGAAGCAACGTGTAGTCTGACATGTTTCTTGTCCACGACACGACAAGATTTTAGGAGTCAAAATCGTGAAATCTGACACAGTGACTATCGTGACCGACAAAAATATCGTGTAGTCTGAACCTGGCATAACATTGGATTTTGCTTACACAACCTAAAAACAACAAATATCAACATCAGCTGATGTCGGTACTGGACATCAAATTAACATTGATATTAGATGTTGAACTGACATTGAATTTTGGTCACCTGACGTTGCAACCGAGATTTAACCAAATATCAACGTCTTATGATGTTGTGTGCCTGCTGGGTAATTTAAAGCTAAATGTATATTCCTAACACTCAGGAACAAAAATGACTTATGTCTCACAATTAATAGTGATGTAAAAGTTAATGCTCCTTTCAACAATGTAATTTTGCGCTAAATTTAATCTATGCTGTCTGATAAAATTGTTTGTACTATATACTGTTAATTTTTTCTGTATGTTTTGTAGATATTGTTGTGTTTATTGCTGCTGGTCTCAAGCTGAGTGTTTGCACAAGGTGAATGGAGGAACAATATTTTAGTACTTATTCTGTAGGAAAACAACTTCGACTTAACATGCCAATAAATGCACAACATTCTGCTAATGGGACAGTGTGGGGTCTAGACATGCTCTGCCTCCAGCAAGACTAGTCAGGTGGGTTTTAGGATCAATCCCACTAACTGTGACCTATCCAATTCCTTTGCCATCTACACAACTGTGATCCAATCAGAGAATGTCATGACATTTTTTCATGGCACATCAAGCATGACAAATTCTTCATTCACATTTATCAGAACATATATCAGAAGGGACGTGCTTGATCTTCTGTATCAGTTAAAGAAATGCGACTTGCTCGCTCGTGGATTACAGCATACATTTTTCAAGAAATGAATTTAAGTCATAAGTTGAATTAAACAATCAAATGGAAAAGACATCAACCATGATTCCATTAAAAAAAAGCCTTTCTGCCTCCCAAAGAAGCTGAAAAGATCTGTCATATTACTGCCATGGATATTCCTACTTATTTCTTCATATATAAATCTACATATTCTTTTAACTGAGTGTGAAATATTGATTATAAAAGAGAACTCATACATAATATCAAAGCCACTGCATAGCAACTCTGAAACCCTCATCCATAAATTACAAACACTGTGACTTCAGCATTTGGACATTTATGATGAAATTGATCAAATGAAAAAAAAATTAAATAAAAACTTTGGATATGTTAGGCTCACAGAGATCAAACAGTAAAACAATTACAAAATATTACAAAATCCTTAGTTCATATCAAACCCATGTTTGTCGATCTCAATATCTCACATAATGGTGATGTGATTGCTTGATGCTCATAATTATTTTGAGTAATAGAAAACACTTAGATAACAGGTGCTCTGACAGGTTCAAGCTTGCAATAGTTCAGTCGCTTTGTGGTTTCCCTGAGAATCATGGGTAAAAGGCATGTTTCTTATCCCCCAATCACACTGCGAGCAAAAGGTCTCCAAAAATATATTTAAAAAAAAAGGCTATAATGAAATTCTCCAGTGTTCACTGTCCATACATATGAAGAAAAAAGAGAACTTGAAGTTGAAATCCTCAGAGCAAAGCCTGCATATTTCTGCTTCTGGGAGCAAAGCCCATCAATTAGAATAAAGCCATCAGTTTAACTTTCACTGGAAGAGTGCCTTTATCTGTCATTACTGGGGAATATTCCATTCTCAGCATATTTCACTTCCTGAAAGAGGCAGTGCTCTCAATATTCATGCTTTTCTTGCTTTGGGGAATCATACAGAAAAATACAGGCAGATATTTTAGCCATGTGCCCAGATGGCCTGATACTAATGTCCTCTCAACATTTGACCTCCATGCTTCTCTGAAACTGCCTGCTTGAGTATTGTGACCAGTAAACATCCAATAATGATGTGATCAGCAATGTAATTCATATAATTATGATATCTGAAACTTGTAAGGTTAATTTAAAAGCTTTAAAAGTTGATCATTTTCCAAATGAAGAAAAAAAAATGTTGGCCTAATTTATACAATATTAAATTCTTGTCTTTTTAAGAGCATGCATCCAAAACTACTTGTGTCTGTTCATAATAACAATGCTTTGAGGTGCAATGTAATCTCAAATAAGAATCTGAGCAAACGATCACACTTCAATCTTTAAAAGGTCATTTGTGACAAACAGTTCAAATGCCTCCAACTGGCAGCGTTGCAGAGCCCTGCTGCTGCATCTGCAGTTGTCTGGACTTGTCAGATTTTGACCCACATTCGCTTTTGCGTCTCAGAACCACAAACAGTCTTGTTGTCCAGTCGGGAGAGCGCTGCGCCCCTCTCTCCCATTCCAGAGCGACAGAACGCGAGAGCCCGAGGCTGACTGACAGGACTTTGACAGACAGACTGTGAAAGGAGAGGCGAGGGAGGAGGGATGACCTTAGGCAAAACTTCAAGGGGAAAGCTGGCACTTTAAGACTTGAAACATTTAACTTAAATATAATGAGTTTCTAGCTCGGTGCCAGGCTGAGATGGATAAGAGACGAGATTTCGAAATTTCTGCTGGACCTGAACTTCCTCATTAGAAACCAGCTAAACGTGTCAAAACGCACCAGGCACTAAGCGGACAGCTATCAAAACGACAATCCGTGATGGACTCTACATTCACCTCGAAATGTGGCTACACATTTGTTCAGATGAGGGCGGTTATACCAGCTTCCAAAGAAAGTAACGAATGCATAAATCACAGTTAAACAATGCACTGTGACACGTTATGTAGTCTACGTACTTTGTGGCGAGCAGCATGTTCTTTCGCGAGTGCAGTTCGTTTGGATCTGTGTGCTGTCTGTTCAGATATTCAGACACGGCCTTTGTGGGAAATTCAGTTTCACAAATGTAGCCAAAGTCCCGAGCCAAATGAACAGCTTCTCCTGGAAATGAAAAATAAACACAATATGGTGAAATGGAATTACTCCACATCTTCGCTTAAAATATTTTTATACTAAATTACAGCTGTAGCTGCAACTGAACTGGAGGGAAAGACAGCCTATTAAGCGAATGAAAGATTGCGGTGCAGAAACAATCAGACAGTCACAACAATAATTATATGAAATTAGCTGTACTGGTTAAAATGTTGTTTTACTGCTTCTGCATCTGTTAACTGTTTGCACCGCCTAAGGAAAATAAATCAGATTACAGAAACTCCCAAGGCAATAAAATATCATCTAGCCTAAAAATTCGGGCTTGTTTTCCATTATTGGCCATTGTTTTCTTCATTTAAAGGGCCTGAATTCCCAAACACGGTGGAAAAGACAATCTAAATGAGAAATAAGAATCAGATGTCCTGCTTTACCTTCTACTAGAGACGTCAGTAAAGTGACATTCGCTGCTTTGCGTCTCCCCGCGGGCAAATTCAAGCCGATTTTCTCCAGCTTTTCCCTCAGTGATCTACCGCCGTTTTTCGACTTCGCTCTGAGGATATAGCGAAGGCATAATTAGAGACGTGTTTTATGACGGACTGACAGCAAAGAAGCACCATGAAAAGTGAAAATTCAAAATCAGACATGTTTAGGCAGGAGTCATTTAAAAATCTCTTAAATCGTCCAACGTAGCCTGTTCAACGTCTCGTCAGTCACTGCAGATGTGGTCATAACCCAGTTGTTTGGAGTTCAAATTGAATATAAGATTTTTGTCTTTAATCCATTGACCTCTGCTCAGCTAATAATGTGGATTCTGGCTGATTTATCGATGCTCTCACCTCCGTAGAACCCCGCCAAGCAGAGAGGCGTTGAGGCACTCTGGCGGAGAGAGGCGCCGGTGGACCTCGCCGACCGTCACTTTATATTTGGATGTGGAGCTAAGAAGCGACAGGCGGCCGGGAACCGAGCAGAAGACCTCGTTGACGTTCACGGTGATCCCGCCGATTAGACCGTCTTTGTTCATCATCAGAGAAGCGACGCTCTTGTGTGGAACTGGAACTGTGCGAGAGAAACAGACAGAAAACTGAGCTACGTCGTGTAATAGAGACCTAGACTCACATTTAGCCTACTGGAATATGAACACTAGCTGTGGTTACTTGCTTCTCAAAATGACTCTATAGCGAGAGGTGTTATTATTTTAAGATAATTTCTAAGACTAGTTACAGACAGCCCAGGCTTGTGGGAATATTATGCAATGTGAAATCTTAGCACATAAAAGCGCAGTTAGCTCGAGCCCTCGGCTGGCCCGGGTCACCCCGCACGCGACCGGAGCTGCCAGCGCGTGCTCCAGCTTTCTTACGTTAATTCCACGTACAGTAGAAAGAAAGCCAGAATTGTCCATAAATGCAAACATAGCGGAAAGCCTGTAGTATTTTTTAAATAAAATGTATTAGGCTATTTTATCTAAACATGTTACCAACTTTATATATAACAACAACGGCGTTAAAAAATAAAGGCCTATGCATGGTTCAATTTGTGCTGTAATGTTTTGCAGTTTCCAACGTGATTAAAATGCTAGCATTACACTTAGAAATGCTGCCAGGCACTGAGATTTAGTCCTTTCGTTTATTCAATTCAGTTACACTTTCCTGTCAGATTTAGTTTCCACAGTGACATTTCAACACTATTTACTATGCTAATTTATTATATTATCGATTGGCCATGGACACGTGCTAATAACATTAACCACCTATTTTTCAAATCACCCCCTCCCCTCCACACACAAACTCACAAGCTGACCGTCAAACGACGTCTACTAACTTAAGCGCTAATGGGGTAACGAGCGCTCGAGCCCGCGGAGAACTCTACAGGGGATAATAGAGAAAACGCGCTCTAAACGAGCTCACGAGATCCGCGCTCAGAAAACCATCCATCACAGCGGCCACTTACAGGCCGTCTCTTCTGGGAGGCCCGTGTTCCGTTAACTAAATTACCGGCAAACGTCTCTCATAACGGACAAATATTAACACGAGCCCAGGGAGTACTGACTGCATGAAGGCCTTATCTCGGAGTAAATATGTCAAAACCTCCGTGGAGAAATTATATCAACAAAGTGGTGCTTAAATGTCGATTTTAAACAGTAATGTTCCCAAAGAAAATAGATAGGCATGAATAAATCTGGAATTTGCGCTACTGTTTTAATGCATAAAAGACAAGAGGCAGCTGATAATAACCTAAGTCTATAACAGACGATAGATTGGTCGATTATTAGCTATAACTAATAAATAAAGCTATACATATTTTTTTGTAGTGACACAAATAACAGTTCGATTATAACGGTGACGATATGATTCTAAAAATATTCAATGGCTTCCACTTGCTTTGGCTGAGCGTCCAAGGTTAAGAAAATAGGCAGGTGACATCATTTAAATACCAGATGTGGTTCAGCGCATGCGTGAAAAGGTGTGCCAAGGTGTATTCACCTGAAATGACTTTTTGCCCTAAATCCATAGAACAGTAATTCCTTCTATCAGCATTTCCCCCCAAAACCCAGTGATCGTTGAAAAATATGAAATTACCAAATAATTAAATACAACAATGGCATAATTCTTCCAGACATTTTCTAATTTACCTTTTTTAATGACTGACTGATCCAGGATGTTCATCCCGTTGTTTGCGTCCTCCATAGCCTAAAAAGGCAGCATAATGAGAAAACATTTACATCGCTACAGCAATTATACATATTCAGATAACTTCAGAACAATGACCTTCTGTTTAGTAAATTTAGACAGATTTAGACAAAAATAAATCAATCGATCAATAAATAAATAAAACAAATTTCCAGTCCAGGGTTATTATTATTACTATTTTTTTGGATCCAAATAGTGAACATTAGCAATTGAAAAAATATTTTTAATTACGTTTTGGACTCATACCATTGTTTTCACTAACAATTCGTCCAAAAATACAATTTTCCATGTAAGTTTTCTGAATGCATTTTAATGGTATTGTCTAGTCAGGAAACGTAAACTAATCTGCATTTAATTAAATTATAAAAAAAAAATTTTTTTAAACAAAATTTGTATTTATTTTTTATTTAAAAATGAAAATAAACCCGATGTCAGTTAGGCTACGTTTTATAATAATTTTGGGTAGAGAGGCAGACAATCATTGTGCAGTCAGCTGAACGCATAAACTTATCAATTGACGAAAATTAGATATGATGTGTGCAGAGATATATTGATAAAAAAACAGATGGTTAGAAATGTGAACCGAGCATGGCTTAACAGATTAAAGGTTGGTGAAGTTTTCATTTTTAGCCATTGCAACAATAATTTTAAGTTAAACAGTAGGCTAGTTTTCCTCAACAGAAGCCTAACGTTATTGCTTTTAAATATTATTTATAAAGTACAAATATAGTTTCAAAAACCAAAATGTGATTACAACCACGACAGAATATTGTTTCTGATAACAAGCAAGCCTTATAATATCAAGCTCTACTATTACTAAATACTTAGTTTGGATTCCGTTAATTGATAAATATTCATTTGATAAAAATGTTTGTAACTTGTCTCAAAAAATGTAAACAGGTCAGAAAACACCCTGAAAATATACAGAATTATGTCACAGAGAGCTACTGCAATTATTTAGAATACAAGATAAAAATAATCAAAATCAAATCGTTAAACGTTAGTTCACTATTACACTAAAAAAATGCTGGGTCGTTTTACCCCAATGTTGGGTCAAATATGGACTAACCCAGATGTTGGGTTACATTTTTACATTAAATTTATAACCCAAAAGTTGGGTTGAAACAAACCAGCATTTTTTTAAATAGACATTCTTAATGATTTACTACACGTCTTTGTGCAATTTCTATCCCGACAAAAGAGGTTATTGTCCAAGCCAAAAAACAAAAATCATAACCAACCTGCACATCCTCCATGCCGTGCGCCAGGCCATGAAGGGACAGACCATCTCCCATCCCCACCTCGAGCCCGTGATGCGTGGAGTGGAGCAGCACGTCTGGTCGGCGCACGGTGTAGTCCCGCCGGGGGTCCAGACCCGAGAGCTGCGGTAAAGAGGCTCGAGGCTGCGGCAGTAAAGCTCCGCTCTCCGTACCCACGTCCTGCCGCTGCCGGGAGCCCCACGGGTGCTGCTGGGACTGGTGAAGAGCGTTCAGAGAGTACGGGTCACTAACGTGTGAGTACGGGTCCTGACTCTGGTGATACGGCAGCGGCTGGTACGGCGGCGGAAAGTACGGAGGTTGGAAGTCCGAGGAAGGTGTGTGAGAGAGCGGCGGAGCGCTGGAGTACGGACCCTGAGAGACCGAACCCAGCTGGGACAGTCTGGAACTGTGGCTCGGTACCCCATCATGGCGGTCCTTCAAACGAGAAAAGAATATAAATACGATTACAAACCAACCGTTTGTTTTAATGTTCTAATTTTTAAAAATAAATAAACTTTTTGGATGTTTTGAATGGCTACTGGAACGAATCCAACGACATCGAAAGAGTATTAAATAGAAGCTTATAGGCTATAGCATATATGGGCGCCCGCTGTGATCCAAGAAAGTACAAAAGCTTTCAAAATATTTGCATTTTCGGACTGATTCATGTGTAGTAATTTAACAAAACATTTCTAAAACGAGGCATAATCGCAGGTTTTAAATTACTACTCTTACGAAAATTAACCATGGTTTTACCACAAATAAAGCCAAAAATGGTTTACTATAATTAAACAATGGTAACCACAAAGTAGGCTAACCATGGTTTTGCTACACTAACCATAGTTTAACCATAGTATTTGTAGTAAAACTGTTTCTAGCTATACAAATGGTAATCAATAGCCAAAAACCTATGGTTACTACACTTTAACCACAATAAAACCATGGTTAATTTTCGTAAGGGTAAGCTCGCAACATAAGCAAAACACGCATGCCACCTTTTTACCACGCAGCTACAAGAAAGTATTTTTCTTGGTGTTCTCAGACTTACCGTGGAGGAATACGTGTGCACTAACATCTGGACGGAAAAACGTGAGCTCGTTCAGAGCAGAAGGACACGCGACAACGCGACACACGCTCGCCTGAAGAAAAACGCCTTCCTTTCTCAACTCCTCATGACCGCACGGAGCAAAAACTAGATTTTTTTTTTCTTTCAGCTCAAATGGCTTCTCCTACACAGCCCTGTTCCTCCAGGTCTCGGTTCTTGTTCTTCCCGATCCGGCGCTCTGATCCAGACTGATCCAGAGTGCGGTGCTCCGTCCGTTCGCCTCGCTACACCTCCTCAGAATAATTGTTATTCATGACTCCTCTAATATTGCGGGAATACTTAAAGCAGCGGGGAGCAGCGGAGCGTGAAGGCGCTGCTGCTGTAAGTGACGTTCATTCAGGAGGAGGAAACTCTCGTGCTCTGTTTTATTCCCCTCTCTGTTTGAGGTCCGGCATGCACGGGTCCGGACCTCTTTCTTTTGCTATTGTTGTCTTTTATGTTATTGTTGTGTGTGCACAGTCCATTTATCTCCAGCCAGAACAAACGAATCGCCGGAATCAGCTGCTTTGAGGCAGATGGACAGAGGCCTCATTCACAAGCACTATATACTCACATACTTTAATATGCATTAAATACATCATACTCACCATAGCAATTCAGACTCACAATAGCAAAATTGGATTCCACCATATAGGGTAGGCCTACTAATGTTAGATACTTCATTTAGGCTAAATTATAAAAAGAAGCCCTACTTCTACAGCCTATATATCTGATAAAAAGCATTATTTGGAGCTTATGTACCACAACTACGCCCTTCGCCCTTCCTATTCCAAACTCACCATAGTTTCACATGCATGTGTGTTTAACCAGGCCCAGGTCTCTGATCAACAAAAACATGAACTTCACGATAACAATATTACACTAATATGATAAAACACTCGGTTTAAACCTTCCCTAATAAATGTCTGAAAAAAGTGTATTTATTTTATTTTATTTTTTGTTTCTGCACCGGGTGACAGTTTAAAGTGCTCCACTAATGGTGCCCCATTAAACAGCTCGTATAATGGTCGATTTCACGGACTGGGGTCGAAGTGTTTAATTACACGCGTGACGGTTGACTGTGAGAGAAAAGCCATGTGTGACTCTCTGGGTCGGCATCCCGCGAGTCTTTTCCAAAAACCACCACGAGTCTCTCCCACGAGCTCGAGCTCATTCAGGGGAATCCACGGGACTCCCACGCGTGACACTGCGTCCTCTCCTTCTGTAGATTCTGCGATTCTCTTATTAATAAATCGATGGCAGGCTCTCAAGAAAATAATGCGAGAAGTTTTTCAGTGCATATAAACATTGACATTTTCTTTTTTTTCCCCTCCTGTTTTTTATGCTAACTCTTTTAGACTGTTTTTTTTTTTTAATATCACCTTACATAAATACAAACAATATTAAAGTTTAAAAATAGAGAATTTAAACGTGCCTCTTTTTTTGACAAAGCAATTACAGAATTAGTTTTTTACAAATTCCAGAATTTGTAAAGTTATATTAAAAACTCTTCTGTAAACAACGGAAAAATTTGTTTTGTCCTAAATTTCCTACTTTTAAAGGAAATAAAGTAACCTGCTAAAATCACTACATTGTTAATACAAAAATAACATAAGCTATTGGGTAGAAAATGAATGAGTAGCCTATGAATAGGCCTATGACGAAATTCTTCTAAATCAAACGTTTATCATTTGATTTTTTTTCCTTATTTAAATAACCAGAATAAACCTCCTGTCAACAAGAGACAAAACATAGCCTATTCGACAAAAATTGAACACGACCAAATGCAACGTAATTTTTTGTCGTTAGCCTATATAAATCATACAGTGAAAAAAGAGTTTGTCTTCTCGTTACCTCGTATATATCTTCATACTTGACATTTTCCACCAGTTTCCACAGCATGTTCGCGCGCTGATCCCTGTATAACGAGTGCATTCATGTGAAGAGTGAAGATCTCTCTCTCTCTCTCTCTCTCTCTCTCTGAAAACGTAAAGCTTATAGAAACATTCCCGATTCCCCTTTACCGTGTTTGTCTCCGTGTGTGCTGTAACTGCGTTGATACAGTGAATGTCTAATGTTAAGTGTGTTGACTTTGAGCTGTATGTAAAGCTGAGACTCCAGCTCCATCATCAACTGCAGATGAAGTGAACGCTTAACAAAAGCGGTCTGCCATTTTACACGACAGAGTCAACGTGTGAGCACGGAATTTAAAGGAAACAGAATAAAAGCATTAAATCAAAACCACATAACGTAAAATAATCAATAGCTTTGTTATGTCATTTTAAAAGTAATTCTTGCAAAGTCAATAAATAGCTGGAGAAGGCGATGATAGGTGGAACTGTTTATTCACGAGAGGGTTTTGTTCGCTACAAATATGTCATTGCTGTAAGCAAACATTACCTCAAAGTCACTTGCAAGAAAGAGAAGTCAGATAGTCCACAACCCGACCGATGCCGTGATGAGAGGCGGTCCAGTGCGCCCCCTGCTGGTCAGTCAAACATACACTTAAACACTGAAAAGAGAACAAAAAGCTCGTTTCAGTTTGACTGGAAATAGAATAACAAAACGTTTCAGCTTGTTTTGAGACGAGGTCAAACAGTAGGCTACTTAACTTCATGTTACCGTGATACGTACAGTTTCTGACATCCTCAAGAACCGCGGTGCTCACAATCCAGCTCCTGCAGAGTTTAGTCGCAGCCCTGCTCTAACACACCTGTCTGTAACTGACCCTTCGCTAAGCCCCGCCCCTTGGTTACTACCGCTGTCTCAGAGAAGCTGTAAAGAAAGTTCCATAGAAACAAACTGTTTTCGAATGAAACGTGATCAGGCGGGAAAATTCAACGTAATTTATTCTTCCGTGGGTTGGAATGAATTGTGACGTCGCTAAGCATTTTTAATCTTCTAATTATTAACTGCAAATCAGAACAGCGGCACACACTTCTCACAGTTAAATAAAATAAAAATGAAAAATCAATTATCACAGTGAACAAAACTGTTCTTAAGGCGGTACTGAGAACTAAGTTTTATCAGCACTGCAGTGACCTGAATCAAAATGAAAACAAACAAACAAACACGAATTTACCTTAAAGCAAATTAAGGATATTTTTAAAACTTATTTTGAAGATGTATTTGGGAATGAGACCTGACACATAGTTTAAAACGCAGGTTTATCAATAATTTAGCTACACAAAATTGCGTTTAAAACTGTGCAAAAATACACAAATCGTCCAAAGACTGACATTAGGCAACAGAAAAAGCTTATCTAAAAATGGCAGACAAAAAGTCCCTAAACTAAAAGTCCCTGCAAAAAATACAATTAAATAAATAAATAAACAAATGGAAACAATAAACTAAAATATGGCTGATGTAAAATTATAAGCAGGGGGTAATTATTACAGTTTTTACTCCAGCAAATATATATTTCTCGAGGTAGGTTTATTTCATTATCAGTTTGAAGACAAACATCTTAAAAAAAAGAAAAATAGGCTACACGTCAATGAGAACAAGTAGTTCTTTTGTGACAACATGCCCCAGTATAGTGGGAAAAAGTTGTCACAAAGGGAGCCTGCCATTAGAATAGTCTACTGTCTGCAACATGTAAACAATAAAACAATTATGCAATGTAACAAACAAACAATCTATCTATCTATCCATCCATCCGTCCGTCCGTCCATCCATCTCTCTCTTTCTCTCTCTATACAGTAATTAATTGTCATTAATAATCAAATAAAATGTAAATATAAAACATAAAAAGGCAAGACATAAATAAGGCAGACAGAATAATTATTAAAATAATTAAATCCATTTAATGTTATTCATATCAGTGCTATAAATATTAGTTAAGAAATTCAACACAAGCACATACAATTTAACTTGCAGACAGTTGCAGCCAGAGATCCAGTGTTTCTGTTCATGTAGAGCGGTAACAATTCCCCCTTCCTGCACAAGAGGTCACTAGGTCACTAGAAACACACAGTTTTCCCATTTTGTTACTGAAGTATGATTTGTATTGTAAACATTTTGCTCCATGTCCTAATATTTTCCAAAATTATTTAAATCTACTAAATGTGTACTGTGGGACATTTTTGTTTGAGACTAACTGAGCTCACTGATCATGACCCAGTTTCATGCCAGTTTCTCAGATCTGTTTCATTGGCCATTAAGATGCTGCCTGACCTATGGAAGAGTGAAAATAATCTGTGATTAATGTTTCAGCAGCCCCGCTGCCACAGAGAAAGTGCCAGAGCCACACAAACACACGCTCACTCTGGGCATGTCTAGAGGCCATGACAGATGTCCAAACAGTTTGAGAGAAAGTAGGCTCATTCTGCACAGACTTTGATTAGAATTCAACATAATCACACATTAAAATTCTCACAGAACACAAAAACACACGAGCACACAGAGATTATCACGCATACACACATGCACGTATGCACAAACACATCTCTGGCATTGCAAAAACATGTTTTGCCACATTTTCAATATTAGAATATATATATTTAAAAAAAGACAAAATAATTATTAAATTTTATATTTTTATAGGTGTGCACATTTTTTTACTAAAATTAAAATGTGCATAATAAAAAAAAATGTGAACACTTGTATGCACACTACATTTATTATATAATTTTAACGTGTTGTGTGTGTGTGTGTGTGTGTGCGTGCATGTGTGTGTGTGAGCTCAACCATTGGCTGCCATTACACAAGCTGGCCACAAGGTGGCGCGCGAGTAACGTGATAAATATCCATTGAGTTCATGTCGAAGACTTTCAGAAGACGGAAGTCCGGGGAAGTCCTTACTTTTCATAGTAGTAAACATAATAGTTTCAAACTATTCATAAAGTAGACATTATTATTATTTTAATGTGAATAGTTAAGCTAATTATCGTTGTTTAAATGCGATGAAAAATCGATGGTATGGTCACTAGATAGGGAGCTTGTAGTAAATGTAAAGTAAATGTGCTTGGACTCATTTTGGTACACTAATTCAAAAGCAATAATTACAGCCTATAGGCTAATATTAACATCTAGTGTAGCCTATGCGTGTAAGAATATATTTAGACCTTCGTTTTATCTGAATAAAGTTGTTGTGTCTATTATTTATGATAACCGCTGGGTTGGAACAGTCTGACTTGATCGGTTGAGAAATAATTTACTCTGAAAATGGATGTTTGTTTACATAGAATGAGTGCCAATTGTTTGGTTGAG